TATCTTGGTGTTCGAAAGTATCAAGATAAAGTTTTAAAGATCTATAGAGAACATATTACAAAAGTATACTCAATATCAAAAATTTAAAAAAGATTTATGTGAAGGTACATGAAGTCTTGTTACAAAAACGAAACACAATACTTCTAATAGCAAATATATAAAAAGAAAAACATGTTTAACAATAGAACACCAGAGACTGAAATTTCCGATTATGAAATCAGTTCCTGTTAATTTATAATACTAGTTTTATCTTAATATAAACTAATTTAAAAGGTTTGTAAATTTTTGTTTGATTAAATATTTCTTAACGTGTCAAAATCGAAATTATTCAGAAATTCTATGACACAAATTTATAAATGATTACTACTACATTGTGTTCATTTTAAGTGTTCTCATATATTTTCTGTTTGTATTAATTTCATAACCGTGTAACTCCATTGTGTTATAATTATACGACATATATTAACTTGACATTATATACAATAAACTTATTACAAAAAGCAAAAAAGAAAAAAACAACATATTTATAATTTATACTAATTATATGAACAGTTTGCCTCTCCACAACACCCATGAAATTATACTAAATACAAATATATACTGACATTAACGTTTATGATTTTACATTGTACAATTTAACAGACGTCCGAAACAATTTTTTCTTACATAAAAAAGGTCAGTCATGAGTTATATAAAGCTCAAATATTGGCGTTTGTTTATAAAAAGTGCCCATCACCTAAATAAAGATGCAATAAATCGTTTGTCATAAAGGTATCAAAATGTAAACAGAATATTACCTTGATTTCAATACAAAATACTTATGGGTAACCCCATCAATAGCAAAAAATAACATAATCAAAAGATCGTTCTGGTAATTGGTCAAATAGTAACTTTTTTTGCAAAACTACAAAAGGTGCCAAGAATAAAAAAAAGCTTTTGAGAAACAAATGTCTTTTTTGAGGCATAGTGGGCCTAAAATGTTCACAAAGTTATTATTGAAAGTTAAGAAGTTATACTCCAGACAAGCATACTACTTCGCATGATGAGAAGGAAGAACGGCGGTGTAGGACAAAATCCTTAGTTGATTTACAGTGAAAATACATTACATATTTAAACAAAATATTTCAGTTATGGAACAAAAGCCTCTTGGTGAAAAGCGACATTATCATTATTATTTTCTGCATTACATGAATGAATATACGCCAATTGCCATATTAACAAAAATTTTCTATTTATTTTCGTGCAGCCCGATAACAGAGAAATTCTTTTACAAAATAAAAATGAATATGCATGCTATTAACTTCTAAACAAAGAAAGTTATAAAAAAATATTACCAAAATAAAAAAACACATTTTCAAAAGAATGTGTGAAATATCAAATATGTTAAAAGTTTCAAATACTTTATGTTATAAAAACAGATATCAAATTAATAATAATGTAACCGTTAGTTTATTTGTGGGTTTTCTTCCTTGTTAAATTAAATTGTGCTAAAATGTTAAGATATTGTGATGATTGTGGTTAAATAACATTATAAATAAATAAATTATAAATAAATTGCTTTGTTACCTTATTTTAATATTGAAACCGGATTGTTTTTTGTTTTTTTTAAGAAACAAAGATCTTGAAATTTTATTGATCAGTGTAAAAAAATGTTTAATAACCTTTGTGGAAAAAAAGTTGACAGTAATAATTAGGATTTCCAAGAGATAACATTGTGGCTTTCGAATTGAAGTAATTGATACTGTTTTAAATATCTATTAGCTTACGTAAGGACAACCTGCGCAGATTTTATATTTTGTTTGTGGTTTTTCACTAAGAAAGTAACATAAAATTAAACAACATAATCAACAGTAACATAAAAATGAGAACGATATTTGTATGTAAAGAAGTATTCTACTGAAAAAAGCACGCGAATTTGTACAATGTCAAAAAGGTCCTTTGGTTCAACGAAGGACAACACTCGAGAAAGAAAATTGTAAAAGATACGCTAGCAATTGCTACGCATTGCAAGACTTTTTTTAAAACGGAGAAATTTAAGCGATGTTTTTTTAAGTGAAGAATTCAAACAAAACCCGAATAGAAAGGTAAACATCATCTACAACCTATGCAATGTAGCAAAACGGTTCAGCAGGTGTAAGCCGAATTGAGATCATGTATTTAGTTCCTACAGCAAGACATTAACACGGTGAAAAATGAAAAATCAGTTTTGAAGCAAACACTACAATCCTTGAACTTAAAAAATATTTCTCTGAAAAAACAATTGACAGATTCTATCAGTGAAGATTATGACTAAGAAAAATAACAAATGACAGAATTTCATCATTTGCCAAAGAAACAGACGGTATTTCTCACGCAGAACGGCAACAACAACAACGACCGACGCTACCACAACAACTTCACGAAAAAGCATCTTACGATGAAGTAGCTTCTGGCACAAACCTCAGTCAATGGAAAACAATCCCGAAGACAGAAATTCGATTCGATTCGAGCTGGCTCAAATACAACTCTTTTTGCATCACTAGCTAAAAAGAAATAAGAAAACAACCAAAATCTCTGCAAACTGAAATGATTAATCGATATCATTGGTTAAGGAAAGACGTGTTCCGGATTCCGGGTACTGGAACTTTTTATTTTATGTTTATGTTTAGTCCGCCATACGCGACGGTAATAAATGTTTTTCTGTGAATAACTTAAAAATTGGGAAATACAAGAGCCTTAAGTAGAAAAAAATGTGTTATTTCGATTTTGTATCAAACTGTCTTCCGATTTAAAGTTCGCTTCAGGTTTTACAGGTGGATAAACAGAAGGTAAGATTCCTAGTTCCATCGTGAGATCTAGGACCAGAATTCAAGGAATCCGGGTCAGCTCGGCCCTAAAACGTATTCGGCCCCCGAGTCAGCTCGGCCCTATTCCAACTCGGCACGGGTCAACTCGGCCCACCTTTTAATTATTAATATTAAGGTTTGTGTTATCACTATTTATTGTTATTATGAAATTATTTATAAAACACGGATTGACAGTTTCAGAGGCTTTTCTTATCAGTAGAATTGCGAGTAAAGATTACCGATTGCGTATCTCAGACTCAGTGTATTTCTGACCCTTTCAGATGAGCCTAGGTATAGGTGTACTAATAAATAAAGTTTACTATTGGTTTTGCTTAAGAAAGTGTTAAAATGTAATTGCCTTGGAAATATGAGAACACAAATTTACTCACAAGGCCACAGATGGGTGTTAATTACAATGTTGTATACATAATTGCTTACATGCAAACATTAAATGAAATAAACTATGACGCAATTGACATGTCTATCCTACAATATTCACTGTGTTTTCCAGAATTTTATCCTCTTAACTTTTGTTGACTGTGTTAAAAAGTTAAGTACCACGGAAATATGAGGCACCAGTATAGGTGGTATCCTCAAGGTACTTTATACCGGGAGGTACTTTGCAGGGCATTTTTTGTCAAAATTGTGAAGGGGCCTGGACCTGTTCATTTTGTGAAATAAGCGTGATTTGTCGTAAAATTGTGAATTTTTTTTCCATATTATTTGGCATTTAGCAACATTATAAAACCGGAAAATCTGCTTCAAGTCGGTAATTTAACCCGCATAACATGTGCTAAAACCATTTAACTTGATTAAAACTATTTCTGTGTTCTTGAAATTGGCGTTAATCATGTAGAATCGGAACGTAAACAATGTATTTCAAAGACAAAGTCCCAATATTTGTGAAATTTCTTTTGAAATTGTGAATTTTTTTCCGCCACTTTGTGAAAAAAAAGTGCAATTTTGAATTGTGAAGGGGCCTTATATCGGCCCCTGTTATAGAAGGAAAAAAAGCCCTGCTTTGTACCGGGAATGTCCAGATATTACAAACAATACTTATATAAAAAAATTCTTTTGTATGCAAGTGTTTTTCACATTAATTTCATAAACAATATAGCATTTTTTGAAGAAAATTCAAAGTTTTAATAACCCTATTCACATAAATATGTTTTTAGTATAAAACCAGTAATATTGCTAGCGATTTGGACCCAACATGATATTTTGAATGTGTGTGCAATGCTTATCAAATTGTTACCCTTTTACTGTGTGGTAATTGATAAATATTGAATAGAACTTTAGTATCATTAACAGTAATGGACCATTTACATATGTTTTTAACTTTTTATTGATTGCTTAAAAGTCATTCCTGGTATTAAGTACTTAAAAACAAAGATGGCTGCCACTCATATGAGGTTATTAACAGAACTATCTTTTTGATGTATAGTTAAAATTTCTTTTGGATGATTGTTATTTTTGTCAAAAAATGGTACCTTCTACGGAAAATAACTATTTTATCCTAGATTTTTTCTGTATTACATGATGGTGGGCCTAATAGGGCTTACCCTCCCGGTAGATAGTACAAGTTACAACCAGGATACGTTTAACCGTAAATTTAAATACATTCAGTGTCAAACAATGTGTTGAAATATATACTGAGAGAAAGCTAAGATCACCGGCTTTTACTTGGTGTAACAAATTTTAAAACCGGACATTTAATCTAGCGATTTAAACATGGCTAAATTTGCATTCTTTTGCAAGCGAAGGGAAACTAAGGATAACAACTTTTGCTTTTTCACTCGATATACCTCGGTTTTTTACGTAGTTCAACAGAGAGAGTTTATAAATATAAGACAAATGAATAAAATTTTTTTTTCGAAATATACTTTATTTCGGCAGAAGTACAATGTATAATTATATAATAATAAGATATTTCTTATTATTCATTTACCGTAACAACATGCAAAGCAAAGTTAATACGTTATATATATTTTGTAAAGGGGGCCGAGTTGACCCGTGCCGAGTTGGTATAGGGCCGAGTTGACTCTTTTCCTATTCAATCAGTTAAGCCGTTTTTAGCCAATAATAAATGGAAGGGGAAATTATACTTTAAATTTATTTTAGCTATTAATGGGCAGCACGAAATACCCAAATATGCCCAAATGTTGCCTAAATCAGGGCCTTCCCCAGGCCAATTTAGCGCCCCGGTGCCGGGGCGCTTGTTTTTCCGTTTACGGATCACCGGGGCGCTTGGATTTTGGCTTGCATGTTGATCTTAGCGCCGGGGCGCTTGTATTTTGACAGCAGGAGAAACTTCTTATCAACGTAATAGCGCGTGCTACATTGTCGCATTGCGTCATCGATAAATTAATCTGGTGTTATGACAGGATGTGTCTATAAACATATGACCGCTAATAATACACAGTATTTGTTGATGTAATTAAAGAGCAATCTGTTTTCGGAGAGCTTAGCAATTAATTGCTTTTGAATGAAATCAATTATCAGATCAACGGCGATTACGGATTATGGATAATTTATGTTGCAATAAGCGTGTTTTATTGGTTCATGGGAGGTGCTAAATGCGATGTGATTTAGGTAAGACTGTTTTGTTGTTTAAAAAAATATATAAATTTGAGTACTTGAGCAAGGACAACTTAATTCTCAAAAAGTTTTTAAAGAGTCTGTTTCGTAACTTAAAATAAATTTTGAAAAAATGTCTGGCGCTAAGAAAAGGCCTGCATCAGGATCGATTAGCATTACAAGTTTTTTTTGTAAGACGAGTGAAAATCAAACCGAGTGTAGAGACACTTTAATTATGGGATGTACAAGTCCCCCTTCTAAAAAAATGAGAAAAGAGAGATGCACTGGTTTTGATTTAAAGTGGAAATCGGAATTTCCTTGGGTTAAAGAGGTTGATGGAGGTAAATAATGAATTTTGTTTTGTTCAAATAGTTAGTTAAAATTTCATTTAACACAGTACTATGTGTTTAATATTTTACTTTCTCTTTCTATTATTTTTTTGTGGCATATCTGCATATAAAATGTTGCACTTGCAAAAATAATTTTTTCAAACATAATTTATTCTTGAATGTTTGCTGTAGTTTGATGCCTTCTTAAATAGATTTAAAAATCATAAATGTTAGCATAATGTATTTTAACTCTGTGAAAATTAGTCGTTTAATTTTTTAATTAACAAAGTATTATGTTTTTAATATTGTACTTTCTTTTTGTAATTTTTTTTGTGAGGGATATCTGCATGAAAATGTTAGATACCAGACTATTTGTCAGACATAATTTATTGTTGAAGGTTTGCAGTTGTTTAATACTTTCTTTAATTTTATAGATTTAATTTTAACATACTGTAATTATTTCATTTACATGGTATTAGGTATGATGTGTGCCCTCTGCATACGCCACCAGCGCCGCCCCAAGAGAGCAGCAGTAGGACAGGCAACATGGGTAGACCAGCCATGTACCTGGATTGTCAGGAAGGCCATCACACGCCACCAGACCAGTGATTCTCATAAAGAAGCTGCAGCATTTGAGGCTAACAGGTCTGCACCAAAGACAATACATGGAGTGGTGGAAGAGATGACAAGCCTGCAGCTCCAGGCTCGGGTGGCAGCATTCCGCAACCTTTACTGGCTTATTAAGCAGGAAATGCCACACACATCAAACTACCTGCCACTTATGCAGCTATGTAAGACACTCTTTTGTATTTTGTATAGAATTCATGATGGTTGAATACTTATTTTTATAAGAAATATAAATATCTAGTGGTATGTTCTTTAATTAAGTCACTGTTGTACTTTTTTTTGTAAAATTGTTTGAACTTTATCATGTTATAACAGTTTTCTTACAGGCAAAGAGCAAGGTGTCAATATCTTGTCAAACCTTGACCAGGGAGGAAATAACAATGGCCAGTCTCAGCGGTTCATCCAAGAGGCTGTCTTGACCATGGGACAGTGCCTGAGGGACAACCTCCTGGAAAAAGTACGGGCATCACCATGGTACACCATAATGGTGGATGAAACAACAGATGTTGCCGTCCTCAGTGAAATGATTGTTTATATAAGGTATGAGATAACTAATATGAAATATATTTCAAAGTTAACATTAAACTAGTACATGCAAAGTTTTAAAAAAATCAACATAAAATACATATTTTGACAGACACTTATCAATTTCTCAATTTTCAAATTATTTCAATAGATTTCTAAAGGATGGTTGCAGCCAGACAGAGTATTTGTCGATCGTGCCTCTTAAAGATGGCAAGGCAGATACCATCACAACAGCCATCTTAGAGTTACTGTCATCATGCAACCTGCCTCTGCAGCAGATGTGTGCCTTTGGAAGTGATGGAGCGGCAGTGATGGTTGGGAAGAAGACTGGGGTTGATGTCCAGCTTAGACAGCGAGTTCCTCACCTGATCGGCATCAACTGTGTGGCCCATCGATTGGCACTGGCTGAAGCACAGGCTGTGAAAGGGGTTCCTTACCTCCCAAGGTTTAAGGATATCCTTGGGGACCTCCATCGGTTTTCTGATCACAGTCCTGTACGCACATCAGGCCTGATGGACATACAGGTAATCACTCATGTAACCATTTTTTTGTGATATCACTTTGTACTCTACAATTAAAATAATTGACTTCTAAGTGGAAATTAATATAAAAAATGAATGCCTGAAATAGAGCAGAGAATTAACAGTGTATAATCTTCACTTTGTTTTGTATATGATATCATGTGCAGATATTTATTGATCTCTATTTTAGAAATTGCTGAATGAGCCAGTTCTCAAGCTGGTAGAAGCTAAGGATGTTTGGTGGCTGAGCCATGACAAGGCAACAAGCACGCTGATGAAGTGCATTCCTTCAGTGTTTACAAGTCTGGAACGGGAGGCTGAGGAAAGGAATGATGTCAGGGCAGCAGGACTTGCAAAGTTCACCCAGGACCATCGCTTTGTAATGTCTCTTCATATGATGTGCGACACTCTACCTCATCTCACAGAACTATCAACTGCCATGCAGGTATGTGTAGATTAAATGCAAGATACTCCCAAGTGAAATAGTATCATTTAAAGTTATGTTTAAAACTTAAACTATTATTTTAGTTTATTTAAACTTGTCTTTTTCAACAAGTAAAAAATTAAAATGCTGAAAACAGGTATACATTGTACGTTTGTTTGATATCTTCAGGCCCCGGATGCTATTTACACTACTGTAAAACCACTTGTGACTGGTACACTGTCCATTCTGCGGGGTCTGCAGTCCATGCCAGGGGAGGCCTACCAGAGTGCAGTGCAGAGGGTAAAGGACCTTCAGGCCCAGGGGTTCAACATCAAGCCTCCTTCTGAGCAAGAGACTGTAAAGTTTAGAGAGAAGGTAAATTAAATTTTGCTTAATCTAAAAAGTTATTTATATAGAGAATACTGAAGTTTTCCTATATGTTGTTTATAAAGTTTCCTAAGCTGAAATGAACAAGGTGTAATTTAAACATTATATTGAAACATGACATTGTATTATTTTAGGTGTTCAATCCATTTATGGAGAACATTGTAAATAATTTGGAGGGCCGGTTTCCAGATCTGCCTCTTATACAGAAGTTTGAGGTTTTTAACACAAGGAAGTTTCCTGATGACAACAGCACCAGTCATAGGGAAGAGGACATCAAGGTATAATGAAATAACAATTTTCTAATGAACAGATGCTTGTTGTTCTTTTATTTAGCTAACTGGACAAGTTAATAAAAAAGCATGATTGTTGTTAAAATAATAGAACTAGAGTGTTTTAAATATTTTGATATTAAACAAATTCTAACTGTTGCAGTATAATGTCAAAGAAAGTAGTTTGTAACTTCATTTATAAGATAAAATTATATTAAAGATGCTGGCTGAGCACTTTGGACATGTGGTTGACAAGACCCTTCATGAGTGGCGCCAAGTTAGGGAATCCATTGCTGACAGTGGGCTTGCTGCAGACAAGGCCATGGAGTGGGTTACCATAAATTTGAAAGTCAGCCACACCAACCTCTTCAAACTTGCTGCTGTGGGGCTGTTGATCCCTACATCAACATCAGGTGAGAAAAATAAAAACTACAAATATAAATCAAATCATACAAACTATTCAGTCACAAAATTTCAAATATTAAACAAAACAAAAATAAAACAATAACTAACTTTTTGCAACGTAAACAACATTACTCTTTTTTTTCTGTTTTTATTTTGATTCATGAAAGAATTTTTTTTACAGACTGTGAGCGTGGATTTTCCACCCTCAAGAGGGTTAAAACAACACACAGGGCATCTTTGAGCCCACCTGTTCTCAACGCCATCCTTACTGTTGGGATGTTAGGACCAGCAATAGAAAAGGTTGATATCAACTCCATGGTGAAAATCTGGCACAAGGAGAAACCAAGGCGTAGCCAGCTCTAGACAGTCATGAATTAACTGATATAACATTATTGTTTTATATTTTTGTGTGATATATATTTTTCTGTTAAAGTTATTTGAAAAGACAATAAAATATGTAAATACTGAACACCTTTTGTTTGTCTTACCTCTCATTAAATATGCACCAAAATACACCATTCCATTGTAAGGTTTCAAAAATTTTTCGACATGCGGGAGGGCGGAATCCCCCCTCCCACACCCACCCCCTCCAAGTTGCGCTTACAGAAATTTCTGGGGAAGGCCCTGCTAAATATAACCAAATATTGCCCAATTATACTAAAAATAAATGTTTTATACTAGATCTAAAACATTGCTGTCTTAATCATGAATACATAAATACACTTTCACTAAGATATAATCAAACATACCCAGATATACATTTTCCTATCATTGTGTTTTGAACCAAAATATGCAGTGTAAGAAATTAGGATTTGAATCGACTAGGCTGGTCGGGCTACCAGGTTGGAATATTCACTAGCCCAATAGACATTTCACTAGCACGATTCATTTGTTCAAATCAGTTTTTTATATTGCCTCTGAAAATGTTATAGCCTGGTCGGGCTTGTTACAGTGAAAAGTTGGTAGCCAGAGGAGAAATTTAGTAGTCTGGGGCTATAGGACTACTGCTAATTTCAAACACTGAATATGTACAGTATATTAAAGCTATTTTTAATAACATGGACACTTGTGTATGATATGAAATTTCAACAAAATTACACCTTAAAAATGTAAGTGTAGACAACAAATATCATATCTTGATTTAAAATTGCAAGTACATTCATAAAGAACCTATATAGTAAATATTTCAGAGCAAGGATTTCATGTAAGCTTAATTTTGCCTGGGGATGCAAATAAACATTACCGATTGTTTACAACCATACAACCACAAATACATGTACATCATTGCGTGTCAGTATATATGTAGGCGGTCCTATGCATATCGACCTGTGAAGCGATAAGCCAATCAGCGATAACGCTTTCGATCATTGTCACGCAATAGAGATCAGACTAATGTATACACGCGCTCTATGTGTAATTACCAGATAAAACACAAGGTTATTGATTTTATATCTTTGACCAACAGTTCATTGGAAAATACCAAATTTTACCGAGAAAAGGATAAAAATAGCGACTATTTACGCCCCATGTTTAAAGACTGTTTTCCCAAATTACAAATGAGTGTAATTTTGAATAATTGTCGAATATTTTTGGCATTTTCTAGGCAAAATTTTGCTTTCGTTTCATTTTTGTAAAAACGTTTTTATAAGAGTATTAAGAATTTAAAATATTGTGCCGAAATTCCAGGACAACAAACCAAAATACACATAGGCTTTTCTTTGATATTTAGATTCTATCCGAAAATTGATCCCGAACATCGTCGATTTCACGTTCGCCGGAAACTCTAAAATTTCGCAAAAAATCTCAGTTTCAAAGCCAAAAATGTGAATGAATTGTTCCTTTATTATTCAATCAACATTAAATCTTTAAATATAGATCTTCAATTTGCCCCCTTTTGAAAATATTTGCTTAAATAATTGACGATCAGATGAATCTCTTACACTCTGTGTGAAGCTGTACACGATTTTCGTATTCATTCTGAATATATGCCTAAATTAATATCACTGTTGTACAGCGTCCACCGGATATAGCCCCTAAAAACAACGAAAACGAAAGTAGAAAGCTTCACACTGAGTACACCCAAGATAATGTTTTAACTTATTTCTTCATCATAACTTCATTGATTTTTCCAAACTAAACAATTTTGTGAAGCTACATGGTTCTTGTTTTAGAGCAATATTTGCTTTTGTCTGCAAATTGAATACTTTTTGTTAAATTGGTGATGAATTGTAGCGTATTTGTTGACATTTGCGAACGATGTTGACATTTACCACTAAAACCAGCCCAAAACGCATTTGCTGTATCGAATTCAGCCGTTAATACAAACTATAGCCCTCCCTCTACTAATATTTGAGTTTTCACCCTTCAACTTGGGCTGCTTTTAACAAAATTTGCGAAAAACGACATTGCCTTGTGTACAGAGTCTAGCACGGATGTGTACGGGGTGTAGATGGAAAACTGTTAGCGATTGTACGGGGTGTAGTAGGAAAGCGAATGTCATTTTCTGTAAAATAAATTCAGTACCAGAGCATATACACGTACGCTGATGAAGAAATAACGATTAATGTCGGGAGCAGGGATTGTGAAGTGAATGCTATTAATTTTATAAAAGATGAAAATGTTTAAATTGTAAACATGTTACGCAACATGTATATTAATTGCAGTAAACAGTTTCCGTCCTGCTAATCGTGACTAAAAGTTAACAGGGAAATCTTAAAACTCAAAAGACCACAATTTCATTCCATAGTGGTAGAATATTATGTACAGCAAATTCTATAATTTGTCCTAAACAATTTCAAACCATGTTTGGGTTATGCTTGATCAAAACTTGTTATATTGGGTTATTATTTCACTGGTCTTAAGACTTTATTGAAATACAAACATATGTTAATGAGCTTTGATAAAATATCCGCCTTGATTAGTTAGGTTAATCATTAGATTTATCTTTTGTGGCTATAAAGTCTTTCATATTGTTTGCAGTCAAACTCGGGTGACCTCACTTGTGATTTCGATATTGTTTAATAAATACAATGCTGCCGCTTATGTTGCTGCTTTTTCTAAAAATTATAATGATAATGATGACTATTCAATGATGATGATGACGATGATGACAATAATGGTATTTTATGTTTTCAATTCAACAATGCCATACCAATGTACAGAGGGTGCAGAGTGATATGAAACATTTAGAGTCTATTCGGCATATTATTACCAGTATCTTTTGAGTCGATTAATAGCTTATATAAGGCGGCTAAAACTGTTTTATAGAAGACAGTGCGTTTTGTAGAAAATGACACTCGTGCATAATCTTTTAATTGTCTGATCAATTATCAACCACATGTCTTATGTGTAGGCTAGATATATGTGTATATGTGTATATATATAAATCCCCATTCGGACCATTTCCATTCAGCGAGTTGGGTAGAAGACTCCTCAATCAACATGTCTCATAAATACAGACGGACACTATTCAGCTGATGGCACGACCATACAAATTCAAGTTAGCTATACTGTTAGGCTCAAAAACACAAAAAAGTTAAATTATTTACCAAATACCTCTGTATCGTCCTCTAATCTACCCATGTTTAGTCTGAAATGAGATTATTTCCAATTAAAAATAATATAAAAGACTATACTTTAAAAATATTTGACTGCTAGACACCGTACACATCTACTAAACCCTGTACATTAAACTACAACACCCCGTTCACTTAAATTTGTTTTCTTTGCTAGACTCTGTACACAAGGCAAGGCCGTTTTTTGCATATTTTGTTAAAAGCAGATTGAGTTGAAGGGTGGTATTTCAAATCTAAGTTGAGGGAGGACTATACTAGTTTGTGTTCAATGGCGAATTTTGATACAGCAAACGCGTTTTGGGCTTGATTTAGTGGTAAATATCAACATTGTCGCACATATCAACAAATACATTTTATCGCAAAGATAACACAAAATATTCAATTTGCAGACAAAAGCAAATATTTCTCTTAAACAAGAACCATTTAGCTTCACAAAACTGTTTAGTTTGGAAAAATCGATGAAGTTATGATGAAGAAATAAGTTAAAACATTACCTTAGGTGTACTCAGTGTACAGCTTTCTACTTTCGTTTCCGGTGTTTTTAGGGGCTATATCCGGTGGACGCTGTACAACAGTGAATATACCAGACTTCCCGAAATACGTCGGTTCGACGGACATGTCCGATAAATTTTGATCAGGTCCGACAAGTTTTTATTCCGGATCGGTCCGACTGTCCAGCTTTTATCCAAGCCGCATGTATACAAAATGGCGTCGCTAAAGGTGCCAAACCATGGAAAAATCAAAAATCTACGTCAGAGGAATGCGCAGAACAGCAGTGAAAGGATAAAAAGAATAGACAGTGAATCGTTGGTGTATGATAGGGAGGAGATGAAAATGCGCTGTAAGGAATGTGCCGATTTTTACGGCGAAAAAATTAAAAACAAAAAGTGTCTTAGAAATACAAACACAAGTTATTCTTTGATTTTGATCAATTTTATTTGGTCCGACAGATTTCTTTTGGTATCCGGACAATTCCCCTCCCAGATGATTCCCCTCCAAGTAAAATTGAATGTTTTTTCACAACCCGGACATTTCCCCTCCCGTTATTTTTTTACGGCGGACAATTCCCCTCCTGTTAATTTTACCGGTCCTACTAAACACTGCTAAGGACCGCTAAGGACTGCTAAGGAGGCACAAAGGACCTTAAAATACCTCCTAGGCCATTCTTATATTACATGGTATTATTTTTAGTGAAAAAAAAATTATAATTTTAAGAAAAAATATGATTTGGGTGAAAATTTTATGAGTTGTCGGACCGCTAAGGACTGCTCAGATACACAAAAGACTGCTAGGGAGGCACAAAGGACCTTAAAATACCTCCTAGGGCATTCTTATAATACAAGGTAGTATGTTTAGTGACAAAAAATGTATTATTTTAAGAAAAAATGTCATTTTAGTGATAAAATTTATGTTTTTGAAGAGTTGTCGGACCGCTAAGGACTGCTCAGGTGCCCTAACAACTGCTAGGGAGGCACAAAGGACCTTCAAATCCCTCCTAGAACATTCTTATAATATATGGTAGTAAGTTAATAGACAAAAATGTATTATTGTAAGAAAAAAATATAATTTTGGTGATAGAATTTATGCTTTCGATGAGTTGCAGGACCGCTAAGGACTGCTCAGGTGCGAAAAGGACTGCTAGGCAGGCACAAAGACCTATAAATATTTCCTAGGGAGGCACAAAGGACCTTAAAATAACTGTTGGGGCATTCTTATAATTCATGGTAGTATGTTTAGTGACAAAAAATGTATAATTTTAAGAAAAAATATCATTTTAGTGATAAAATTCATGTTTTTGAAGAGTTGTCGGACCGCTAAGGACTGCTCAGGTGCACTAACAACTGCTAGGGAGGCACAAAGGACCTTCAAATCCCTCCTAGAACATTCTTATAATATATGGTAGTAAGTTAATAGACAAAAATGTATTATTGTAAGAAAAAATATAATTTTGGTGATAGAATTTATGCTTTCGATGAGTTGCCGGACCGCTAAGGACTGCTCAGGTGCGAAAAGGACTGCTAGGCAGGCAC